CGGCCGGCTCACGGGACAGAGCACGGAGCTGAGCGTCGCCTCCAAGGGGCTGGAGCTGCTGGTGCTGAAGGGAAAAGCATCCCCAGGTGAGAGGTGCTGGGTGGGCATGGCTGAGCTCCTCTCAGGTCAAGGCGTTGCTGGAGAGGGTCCAGCAGAGGCCACAGAGGTGATTTGGGGTGTGGAGGAGCTTTGTGATGAGGAGGGACTGTGGGAGCTGGGCCTGGTCAGTCTGGAATCCCAGCAATCCATACAAACATCTCCAGGGGGTGTCAGGATGGTGCCAGGCTCTGCTCGGTGGGGACAAGGAGCAATAAACTAAAACACAAGTTCCACCTCAGCATGAGGAGCATGTCCAGGATGTCCCTTTCCATGAGGGACAGCTGCCCATGGAGTGGTGGAATCTCCCTCCACGGAGACACCAAACCCACCTGGACACCTTCCTGCTCCAGGTGACCCTGCCTTGGCAGGGCTTTGCAGTGGGTGATTCCCAGAGGGCCCTTCCACCCTCAACACCAACCCAGAGATCTTCACCCCTTTCCTGACCGTGTCCTGATGGGAGTGACACTGTACCCTGATGGTAACAAACTGCAATTAACTGCAATTAACACTGGTTGTAAATGCCCCTGAGGTCAGGCAGGCCCTCACCAGCTCCTTGACTGCATTCCAGGGCTCTGTGCTGGCACTGCTCTGTCTCTTCAGTTTTTCCTCATGTTTTCAGTACTAGTAACTCCTGTGGAGGCAAGTGGAACACAGAGAGGTGGTTTAATGCACAGAAATCTGGGCTACACAGCGTTAATCCCAAAATCCTGGCACAGAACAGCCTTTCAGGCAATATCAGGCTGCAGCCATGGCCAGTATCAGCCAGGACATTAATTTGGAAAACACTTAAAGGAATTATTACTATTCCAGCACCGTATCTTTGTTTGCATTACAGCTCTTACTGCTGGGAAAACGTTGGATTGTTCAGTGGAAAAACAGAAGTGCTGTTGGCAGCCAGCATAACAATGTTAACATTTTAACTTCACCTAAAAGAGTGCCAAGGGAACACTGTTAGAACTCTGTTTCCTCCCACGTGGAGCAGTTTGGTGGCCACCTGTGGCCACCTTGAGCCTGCTGCCCGCAGGTCCTGCCTCCCCACACTTGCTGCCAGGAATGGCTCTGCTGCCTCATACTCAGCCTGGAGACGTGGCATAAACCTCTGGGATTAAAAACTGGAGCACAAATTCTGTTCCAGTTCTCTGAGGCTGGTTTTGTTCAATTTTTATATCCGTGAACAGTCATTCATAGAATATCCTGAGTGGGAAGGGAGGCACACGGATCACAGAATCCAGGTTTCCAGAGGTTTCCAGTAAAACTCACCACCCTTTACCTGTTACCATTTCATTCCAGAGGTGAAGTTGGAAGCCAGAGCAGCTCTGAACCAAGCCCTGGAGATGAAGCGCCAAGGGAAGCGGGAGAAGGCCCACAAACTCTTCCTGTACGCCCTCAAGATGGATCCGGACTACGTGGACGCCCTGAACGAGTTCGGGATCTTTTCAGAGGAGGAAAAGGACATCCTGCAGGCCGACTACCTGTACTCCAAAGCTCTGACCATCTCCCCCCACAACGAGAAGGCTCTGAGCAACCGCGGCCGGACGCTGCCCTTGGTGGAGGAGATCGACCAGAGGTATTTCAGCATCATCGACAGCAAGGTCAAGAAGGTGATGGCCATTCCCAAAGGGAATTCCGCCCTGCGCCGGGTGATGGAGGAATCCTACTACCACCACATCTACCACACGGTGGCCATCGAGGGGAACACGCTGACGCTGTCCGAGATCCGGCACATCATCGAGACCAGGTACGCCGTTCCCGGGAAGAGCCTGGCGGAGCAGAACGAGGTCATCGGCATGCACGCCGCCCTCAAGTTCGTCAACACCACGCTGGTGTCGCGCATCGGCTCCGTCACCAGCAGGGACATTCTGGACATCCACCGGCGCGTGCTGGGCTACGCCGACCCCGTGGAGGCGGGGAGGTTCCGCGCCACGCAGGTCTTCGTGGGCCACCACATCCCGCCGCACCCGCAGGACGTGGAGAAGCAGATGGAGGAGTTCGTGCAGTGGATGAACTCGGAGGACGCCATGAGCCTGCACCCCGTGGAGTTCGCGGCGCTGGCGCACTATAAGCTGGTTTACATCCACCCCTTCGTGGACGGCAACGGGCGCACCTCGCGGCTGCTGATGAACCTGATCCTGATGCAGGCGGGGTACCCGCCCATCACCATCCGCAAGGAGCAGCGCGCCGAGTACTACCACGTGCTGGAGGTGGCCAACGAGGGCGACGTGCGGCCCTTCATCCGCTTCATCGCGCAGTGCGCCGAGACCACGCTGGACATGCTGCTCATCGCCACCACCGAGCACGCCGCGGGGCTGCCCGAGGCGGGCGGCGGCGCTGCGTGCAAGCAAACCATCCCCGTCAAGACTTGAGGGTTTTGGGCAAGCTCAGGAGGTGGTGAAGCTGTGGGAGAGCAGAACTCCAAGGCAGGCGGTGTTGCTGCTGGGGAAGGACTGGACAGGAGGTGTCGCTTGAGTGTTTTGTTTATTTAAATTTGATTAAATTAATGTAATTTATTTCATATACGTGACGCCAAACGGAACTGGGGATGGTGGCTGTGCACTGGAAGGAGGTGGGGAGAGATGTCAGAGGGCTCAAAAAGATGAACTGAAATTGAATTTCTCCTTAAAATTAAGCTTTGAGGAGCTGCTTCAATCACAACCCTTCACCCAGGCAGGCAGCTGCACTGTCTGACCTCAGCAAAGTCTAAACTGAGCTGGTTCTGTGTGGCCTCTTCCCTGTAGCTCCAAACACATCCCTGAAGGAGCAGCACTCCCAGCTGTGCCCACCAGACACTCTGGTGTCAGTCACACAGGTCCTGAGCAGGAAGGTGGCTCCAGCCCCAAGGCATCTCTCCCCTCCCCTTTCTGTTTCTGTGGCACTTTGCATGTTTACTTTCAGCTGCCTTTCCTGGGGTGAGTTTTGTACAAGTGGGAAGTGTTTGGTTTGGGATTACAGGTGATAGGAGTGGAACAAGAGGAGAAAAGCTCTGACTTACTTGAGGGAAGACTCAGAAAATCTCAGCCAAGAGGAGCCCTGGGAAAGCACAACTGTCCTTAGACATTTCAGTGGCGGGGTTGGAAGGAGCTTGTCTGCTGAACTGTGGGCAGAAAAAGTCATCAGGCAGAGCCAGGAGACACCAGTTGTGCCAATTTGGGGAGAATGTGTGCAGGAAGTTTTTGGCAAACTTCAGTTTCTTTAGTCTAGGTAGGGGAACTTCCACAATTAATCACTGATTGTGTCATTACTCTGATAAATGTGTCAAGGATCACTCGAGGCCTCTGTGTGCTGCAGGGCCAGTGCAGTGCCTGGAGCTGCTGAGCAGTTCAAAGAAGCACTTTTGCCTTGGTTTTTAAGGTAAAAGTACTCACAGATCTCCCTACCCCAAACCTGCCAGGTCTGTAACAGCATCACTGACCCCACCACCTTCAAGCTCACAAAACTTCCATTTAAAATCCCAGTTTAGAGCATTTAACCCCTTGACAAAAGCTGCCAGGTTGTCCTAGGCTTAGTTTTCTTCCCTTTTAACTCTCTCTTACCTGACAGGGAGCTTAGGACATGTTTTAGAGAAGCAGAAACCAGGATGAGACTGGGAGTGCTCTGAGCACTGCTGCCAGGGAAAGCAGACAACACAGGAGGAAAGGTGTCCTGTCCTTACAAAGCATGTTATTTTTATAGTGCAACCTGAGTATAAATAATGCACTTTAGAGCTCTGTGTGGGGGGGAAAAAGTTATTTTAGTAACAGATTAATAAACTATTTTAATATGAAAGTCTTGGTTTGGAAGAAGCTGTTGTAAGAGCAGAGGAGAGGCCATGGGAGAGATCCTGGTTCCCTCAGCCACGTGCCAACACGAGCAGAGTGACCATTTCAAAGTAAAGCCAAGTGAAATCAGCACAGAAATTAGTGTTTATTTGCAGCAGTGTTCCTGCGGTCCAAGTGAACTCAGCACTGGGGTCCCCCCTCACATCCACCCCTGTGGGTGGTGACTTCCAGGGCAGCTGACAAGCAGGGATGCTTCTATGCAAGGTCACACCACTGTTGGAAAGCCTGAGGTGATGACTGAGGTGATTTCGGGATGTTCAGAGCAGAAGGAATGAGCTGCTTCAAGGCCTGAGGGACACTGAGCTCACCTGAGAGGTGAGGTACATCACCATCACCCAGCTGCCAGAGGAGAAGTGCAGTTCCAACACCCACATTTAAACAAAAGCAACAGTATTTATAGAAAACCTTTGAGAACTCGAGTTTAATAAACCGAGAAACGTCAGCTTGCACTTCACAGTTGTACAAAACCATACAGAAACCACCTGCAAAAAGACATGAGCTAGCTAGGAAAAACAACCAAAAAACAACCAAAAAACCTGGTCCTCAGCAACAGCACGTCCAGCTTCATGGGAAACAAAAATTACCACCTAAGGATCAGCTCCTGACACTTAAAAAGAATCATCTCAATGTCCTTTACAAATACACCATATAAAAAACAGGGCAACTGGAACAGAACAGGAACTGGATACATATATATGTATATCTGTGTATCTACATATACACACATATGTATAGAAACTCTCCCAATACTAAAAGAGGCCATTGTGGTGAAGTTGGAGCATCTGCTGTTGGATTCTGCATGGAAGGAGATGACAGTCCCTGCGTGCGTGGGTTTGGGTGAGGAATGGGGCTGTTGGCAGAGAGAATGTCTGCAATCCCAATCTGAGCTGACCAGTGGAGCTTGCTGAGGTCCTCCCATGGCATCTCATTCGTTAATGAAAGAGAAAATCGTTGGAAAGTACTCCAAAAACTCCATGTGGCATCCGAGCTGTGCAGGAAATATTTCCCCCCTCGTTACCCTCAATATGAGGGATCACATTAACGCCATTTCACCAGAACAAAAGTGTGACTCTTTGCTCTTAGAGGAAAAAAAAATAAACCAAAAAAACCACCACCTGGATTTGTGCCATCCTGCACTGATCCCGAGGAATGCAGCAGTCCAGTATCTACACGGGATTGGGACGGGCGTTCTCTCCTTGCAAAGCTTAAGGACACAACATGGCTTCCAGAAAGGCATTTCACATTGGACCAGACCCGCTGAGTGCACGCTCCTTGCTCACTTTTTCAGGAGCATCTTGGCAAAATCAGCATTGGACATCTTTTTAGGTTCTGCAGGGGGGTCAGAGGACGCTGCTGGTGAGTTCTGGACCATCCCATTCTCAGCCTTGGCCACGGGGTTGCTCTGACGCTGCAGCGCCCGCGGCATCATGGAGAGCTGTGTCCTTCCCTTCCCTCGCCTGGAAGGGAAAAAATTCCCATTAAAACACACTCTTTTAGCTTGGGGGAACAACAAGGACTTGTGTGCTATGAGGAATGCACATTTCAGTATCACTCCTGTCATTTGTTTCAGGGATAAAGCTTTCCATGGGTGTCTTTGAAGCACCCCTGAGTTCTGGCAGACAACTGCCCCACAGCCCCCAAGGCTGAAGCTCTGTTTGTCCACAGGGGCTCATCCAATACAGGAACACTAAAAGATGAAGGAGCAGCTTTAATGCTCACTAGGAACAATGGCTGCTTCTCCAGAGGGAGAGGATGTGGAGGTTATTAGGGATCAGTGCCAACATCAGATCCAGGGGATGGCCAGTGGCTCATCCTCACATTGCTACTGAGCTGTTTCTGTGGTTAAGAGGAAAAATTTGCTTTTCCTCATCAATCCAACAACCCATTTTTTTTTATGGTGCAGTACCTTTTAAATGTTCTTTCCGATTCACAGGATCCTGCACTGATTTGGGTTGGAAGAGGCCCTGAAGATCACCCTGCCATGGGCAGGGACACCTTCCACTAGCCCAGGTTGCTCCAAGCCCTGTCTAACCTGGTCTTGGAAACTTCCAGGAATCCAGGGGCAGCCACAGCTTCTCTGGGCACCCTGTGCCAGGCCTCCCCACCCTCACAGGGAAGGATTCCTTCCCAATATCCATCTAACCCTGGGAAGCCCTTCCCTCTTACCCATATAAAAACCCCTCTCCCTCCTTTTTCTAAGCCCCCATACTCCAGCCGAGATCCCTCAAGTTTAGCACATACAAACAGCATTTCCCCTGCAGGCAGGGGCAGCTGCCCTCCCCCAGGGCCTGCCTCACTCACGCTCCATAGGTGTGCCGTGGTGCCAGGGGCAGGGAGGCCCTGCCGGGCTCGGGCCGCTCCGGAAGCTTCCGCAGCGGGGGGTTGCTGATCATCACCTTGATGACGTGGTCCTTCACTGTCAGCCCATCCATCTTCAGCACAGCCTGAGAGGCCTGGGCTTCATTCTCGTATTCCACATAAGCCAGGCCCTACATTAAGGAAAGAAAGAGCCTACATTAGGTTTTAGTGCTTCTGGAAGAGCTGATGAGGAATTTGTAACTCAACATGGCTCAGTCCCAGTGTTCACCACTCCCAATCATCATTCTCCTTACAAACCTGTATTCCTTTCACTCCTGATGCCCTCATGTGTGGAAAAGGTATTAAAAAAGGAATGAACTACTCCAAAAAAGGTATTAAAGGAAATAAAATGAAGTACCATGGCAGAGAAAGGCATCACCTCTCCCTGCTGTTACTCTTTTAAATGACATTCAAAACCTTAAGCTGCATTTTTTGGATTATCCAATTCCACAGGAAAGGCATCAGGTTTTACATAACTTTCCCAAAATATATTTATTTGTGGTTTACACACAATCCCAGCTCAAACTAAGCTCAGAACAAGAGCTGGAGTTCCCAAAAGCACTCATTACAAGGTGTGCACACAACAGGAACTTCACCTGAGGTGATGCAAAGGGCAAGAAAATTCAACTTAAATCCATGTCCACCATTCCCAGGATGTCCCTGTGGACAGACCCACCCCACACACACTGCCCAGTCAGGTGTCAAAGTTTTGGCAGAGCAGCAGCTGGTTCAGAATCCCTTATTTAACAAGGAGTCATTTATTCAGGGGTGGAAATAATGAGCCCTGTCAGAGAGGGGGCTCATTTCTCAAACCCCTTCCTGCAGCAGATGTTAGGAACAAAAGCCTCAGGAAACTGAGGCAAGGAGGATGAGAATTGGTTGCACCAGGTAAACCCCATTTAGCCAGTTATTTAAGCCTTTACAGACTTTCCTGTTTTTACTACACTGACAGTGCTGTAAACATTTCCCCCTCCATCCTGTTTTTCTTGTGCAATTTAAGAAGTATTTTGGAAAAATTCCTTTTGGTTTCCTGCACAAAGGCACACTGGGCTGCATAAATCCAAGCTCTTCCACAAGTATTAATACAACACCATGCTGGCAACTTAACCCAACTTTTTTGTCTCCAGACTCCATGACAAGCTTCTTTTTGAAGGATTCCTTAAAACCAGCAGTGTGTTAAGGATGCCTACCTTGGGTTTTCCAGCTCTGTTGGTGACCAGTCGAATGTCCTTCACATTCCCATGGGCTTTGCACACCTCCTCCAGCTCTTCCTTAGTGCAGGAAAATGGCAAACCAGATATAAAGAGTTTATGTTTCTCCAGGGTAGTGCTGTACCTGAACACCTGGGGGAACAAAAAGGATGTTGGTTCACAAACCAGCCAGAAATTCCAAAGATTTCAATTTCACACCCCAGAAGTAATTCCCGTTTGTGGGATCCAAAACTGCCTCAAAGCCATGAGTAGTGTTTTGGAAGATATTTCATATAAACACCAAGGACTTGCAACTAAACGCTACTAAACCCCTTCCCAATGAGGGCAGACATTGAGAATCATAGAATATCCTGAGCTGGAAGGGATCCAGAAGGAATCAGAGCCCAATTCCTATAATAATGTATTTATAATATTGCCCTTTCACTCAGCTGTCACTATGGGAACACTGAATTTTTCTGTGCAGGAACCCCAGAATGCAGAAATCCCCTGATTACACAACTGAGCTCTGGTACAGAACATCCCCAGCCAGGGGATTGGGTAACAAATGCTGACCAAGAAAGCACTTCAGAGGTTGAACCTGGGTAGGTCCCACCACTAAACTCAGATCAGCAGATTTCTGCAAATCTTGAATAAATCATGTCAATCCTGATGTCTGGCAGAGTAACAAGACGCAAAAAAATCCCCAAAAAAAGAGTTTAAAGAACCACAACATAAATGGATTGGACAAATTCCACCAACTCCCTTCCCCACATCCACTATCCAACAGGAACCACCAGAACTTCACCTTGAAGTCAGGATTCTTGTTCTTGTCCACACAAGGAGACACAAACATGGGCCTGCCCTCCACGGCCGTGCGGTCCAAGGCCAGGGCCTGCCGAGCTGCCTCCTCCTCCCTGAACTGCACGTAGCCGTAGCCCCGGAAGGTGCCCTTGTTGTTGAACACTGCTCGGATCTCCACGACCTCCCCACAGCTGCCAAAGAGCTCCCTGAGCTTTGCCTCGGGCTCTGCCATGGTGTAGGAGAGGTTGCTGACAAACACAGTGACTTTATCCTTGCTGCTGTCGTGGAGCACCTTGGGCGCGTCCTTGCGGCTCGTGGACGCCTTTTCCTTGGGGGCCACGGGGCCATCTGGCTTCTCACTCCTCCCAGAGAGCCCAGTCTCCACCTCCATGTCCTCTTCAGGGAGCACTCCATCTCCCTCTCCCCTGTACCTCTTGCTGGGCAGCTCTGATTGATGGAATTGAAAGCCTCGTTAGAAAAAATTACCCCATTTCCTTCCCCACTGAAACTGCTCTGCCCTCCATCCCCACTGCGGAGCTTGGAAATGGCACTTGGAAGCACAAATACAGTGACAGGCCTTAAAGACACCACACAAAAACCTCCCTCAGGTTTTAAAGAACAAATAAGAGATTATTCCACCAAGATAGCTTTAGATGAAAGCAACTGGAATATTTGTTCCTTTTTTTCAGCCAGTCGTAACTGACAGTTGCTGATTCATGTTCTTTTCTTTGTCTAATGGTTCTTGATTAAAAAAAAAAGAAATCTGAAAGCTCACGAAAATCCCAGGGGCAACAACCTATTAAAGTCTTCTGTTCCCACCTCCAAGAAGCTGCTACAATTCTAAATAACCCAATTTAGACACATGGCTCAGTATCATAGGATGAGTCAGAAAAAATTACTTTTAAAGAAAATTAAGGAAGAAAAAAACCAAAATCACAATATCCAAAATAAGAAACCCTAAGAAAACTCTGGAAGTTCTTATAAACCTCTTTTTCTCTTGGTATAAAACCATTTAGCCTTGTTTGCATTTCACTCCCACACTGAACACTTCCCAGGAGAAAGCAGCCCTGGAAAGACAAGTGCTGGCAATTCCTCAGCTCCCTCTACCACAAGACAACCAATAATCCTGTTGCCAGAGCTCTGAAGCTTCAATTTAATTTTATTTTTACCTTCTTCTTGTCCCCATTCACCCTCATCATCCTCGTCTGCTTTGCGCTTGTCCCCAATCTTGGTTTTTTTGGCTTTTTTGGAAGCTTTCTTCTCTGCCCTTGCTTGCTTTCTCTGCTCAGCTCTCTCCTCCTCCTGCTTTGCCAGAGCAGCTTCTTTCTCAGCAGCCTAAAACACAGAAGATTGATTTCTTTTTCCTCCCACTGGCTGCAGATTGCAGAGCATTTTCCAGAGCACTGAGCCCAGAGGGTTTTCTCCTAACCCCAGCACTAATGGGGACATCATTTAAAGCTCATCCCAATTCTTTGCTCTCACAGCTTTCCTGGAGGGCACATCACTCTTGTGGCCATCCAAGAGGCAAAAGGAGAAAGATAAAAAGCAGCAAGAGGTTGTTAATCATAGTTTTAAAGTAAAAATCAATAGTTCTAGGGCTTGAAGGCATGTCAGGTTTGTGTGGGGGGAAGCCACATTAAAAATGTGACATTTAGAGAAGCATGGACTTAATTTAGGTGCATAAAATGCCTTGGTAGCTCACAAAGTTCAGACCTTTGCTCTTTGCTCATTCACTCGAGCCAATCTGTTCTCAGTTTTCTGAACAGCTGCATCCCAGTCTTCCAGTGTTCCTAAAGGATAAAATGAAAAATAATTTTTAAAAGCCTTTTATTTAGCTTTGTCGTAACTCAAAGATACAATTCTGGAAAAACAACAGTCACTGAGTTCATGGCATTTGCTGTTCATATTTAACATTAACACATGAAAATTCTATTTATAACAACTAGCCTGCAAGGTAAAAAAAAAAAAACCCAAGAGCCAAGCAGAGCAGAAACCTCTCATTAATAATGCAAGACTCCAAAAAGGCATGGAAAAATCCAGTGATTTCAGAAAAGCAAGGAAGAGCTGTCTGTGGATTTGACAGCAGTGCAAAGTGAGACTTCAGTGGAGCACAAAACACTGATCAAAAGCCTGTGTGCCACCTCAGCCTAACCAGGCTAAGAGATGCAGTAATTAATTACCTTCCGCCAGTCATTTAGTTAACTTCCGTTAATTGACTGCCTCCTGCCTGTCACCTTTTGTCACTCAGCCACCCCCTGGCAGTGCCCAGGTACCTTCTATCCTCTCCAGGGTGAGCAGCACCTCGCAGACGTGCTCGGGGTAGTCACTGGTGCACTGCACTGCCCGGTGCAGGGCCTTCCTGCAGTGCTGGGTGTCCCCATGGGCCCTGCAGGAGGGACAGGACACTGAGGGGACAAACCACACACAGTTCCAGCCATGCAAACACTCCCCCTCCTTCCCAGCTCCTGGAAGCCACAGCAGAGCCGTCCCAAGAAGCTCGAAGGTGTTTTGTAAACCCAAACAAAACACATTTGTTCTAAACTGTTTTCTCCCACAGATGAGGTAACTAGAAAGTGAATTAAGCAAGCTCCTACCTTTCCAGGTTGTAATATTCCAGCCACATGTTGGCATATTTGGCATTTCCTTTAGTCATGATGTTGTCCCAGAGCTCCCTGGCTTTCTGCATGTTGTTACACAAGCGGGCCTGCAACAGAGCATCCAAAATATCCTTCAGGATTATTTGTTCAACATCATTAACCCCAAATCAAGAACACCCCACACATGCTGCAGACAGACCCAGCAAGATACTTCTGAGCCTTACAGGGGTCAAAATAAACACCTGACACAATCCCACTACTGAACAATCCTTCCCTGCACATCTCTCCCATTAGTCTTGGTTCTGACTCCCACATCCATTTGATTTTGGTCACTATAAATAAATTAAGAGAGCTGTTTCTGAATTTCTTCCATTTGTTTTTGATGAATGTACCTGATAACTCCCCAGACTAAGAAATTGGTTTGTGTTTAGGAAGAGGAGAAATGGATTGGGAAAGGACTGCATTCCATGGTTGGAATGTTAAAACATTTTATTTTAAATCCATTTTATCAGGTTCAGCAATTTAAATACAGCAGAGAGAAACATCACCTCAACTCTTGCCCAATTCTGCATGATGGTGCAGGATGGATCTCCACTTTCACTGAACCCTAGGAAGAAAAACAAGGGCTGTTTGTTGCACTTGGCTCTCAGAAATAAAAGTGTTTATTAAACAGGTCCCACACAGAGATGAAATCTTTATCTGCAGCTTTCTGCAAAATTCAAGATTCTTGAAGACAAACATTGTGTGGAGAACTGATCTTATAAAAATGATTTTGAAGAGGAGAAAACACTACTTGAGAAGATTTCACTTACTTTCTTCTACTTCTTGTTTCAAGTACTCCACAGCTCGTGCAAATGCAGAGCGCAGCTCCTCCAGCTCCTTACTGGAGTCTGCAGGAAAAAAGGAAACATCCTAAAATAAAAATTTAGTTTTTATTTCCCACCCAACAAAACCTTCTCCTTAACACCCACAATGAATTTATTGGGTAGCAAGGGGAGATTTATTATTCCTTATTGTTATTATTGCTTAAATTTATGATTTTATAATGAGTAACACTCACTACATGAATAAGTTAAAAAATCAGATATCAAAAATATAAGGCAGGGCATTTTTGCAATAGCAACCAACCCACTTCCTATTTTTATAGACATTAACTGGCCAGAAAACAATTTTTGTGAAATATGAAAATGCTGCTAATTTTCTTTAAAAAAGTAATATCCAAGAAATACAAATAGTATAGATATTTCTTCTGTACTTATCATACAGACCTTGTGTAAAATCCACCCTTCTCCTCAGGTAATCCAGGTAGGCCTGCCAGATCTCTACATAGTCCGTTGCTTGAATAAAACCTGCATTCAGAGCTTTTTCAAACATTTCTGAAAGAAAAATGGGGAAAAAACAGTTACTTCCCATATACTGTCACAAAATGAGCAAGTTGCAGTGATAGCACAAAGAAATATCTACACAAACACCACTGGTTTCCAGGAAGACAGGAAAAGAAATCCTACACAATAGACTGGTTTGGGAAGTGAATTTAAAGGCAGCTGAACTCAGCAATGCTCATTCCAAGCTGGTCATTGCTTGCTCAGGGTGAAGCTGCTCAACCAAAGCAGCTTTGCCCTTGCAGGACCTGCAGCCCGTGGCAGGATGAGAACAGATCCTGCAAGTCCCATTTGTCCCAGGCTGTTTGGAGGGCAGAGAGCAGCTCTGAAGTGCAACTGCTGGTTCTTTCCTCACCAGAAATGATGCTGTGCTCAACCCTGTGCCTCTCCATGGCCAGCAGGTACCTAATCCACAGCCCAACAGTCCAGGGGCAGTTCCTGACAGCGCGGTCGTGAGCGGATAAAACCAATTCCTTCACCTTCAGCTGCCTGTCCTGAAAGAATCACACAAGGAAAGTGAAGTTCCTGTCAGTCACAGAGAGCACCCGAGACAAACCTCAGCTTAGAAAGAGCCAGCACCTAAAACCCACCACTTTCATTTTATATTTAAAAAGCTCAGGTGGGTATTTTAAATTCTGTTTTTCTAAAAACCCAGTGAACACCTTCCAGTGAGGAAGAGAATGTTCAGGAAAGAGCTACCAGGCCAGTGAGGTGTTTCCTGCCAAAGAAATAAATATAATAAAGGCACTGAGTGAATCCCCAACTGTTCCTAGAATGTCAAGGATACAAAGAAGGAGCACACCCAGCCTTTTTGTGGAGGTGTTGTTCCACCTGCAACCTGCTGTGTCCAGCTGGGAAGAGAAAGAGATGATGGAAAAACTGAGCCTGGATAAGCTCCTGCAGGGAGTCACTCTGATCCCTTAATCCAGCCACCTTCTGTCCTGCCTCTGGAGCTCAGCACCAGCTTCAAACTGCACTAACAAACCTCCCTGGAAACAGGGGCTGAACATCTGGGTTTGCTTCAGTGCCCACAGCCTGTTATTCTGCAGAGAAAACACAGCTACAGCTAACTAGAGAAAAGTGAGAAACGCTCACAAGAGGAATAAACACATCCCTGAAAACAGGAGGAAACCAAAGGTGAGATGAAAATAAGTTTCTGGAAAATTTACAGGTTAAAGGACAGGACAGAGGTAGAACTTAATGGCTGTTTATCAGCAACTGAGATTAAAAAGAAACACAAAAGTAAAGGCAGGAAAATAAATCTGCAAACATTCCTGGGTTTATTTCCTTACCAAATACTGGTTGTAGCGTGCCCAGAGGTCTGGGACAAGGCAGTTCTCAGCCAAAGCTCTCTCATAGATCAGCTGAATCCGAGCTGGGTCACCTGCTTTCATTTCAAAATCAATGTAAGCTTGGTATTCTGCCAGCTTTGGGGTTTCAGCACCCAGCTGGAAAACAACCAGGGAGACACAACATCAAACTCTTCAACAAAGCAAGACTCCAACAGTTCAGCTGCTCCTCAGACTTCACAAAAGAAATTTGTCTCTGTATCAGCAGCTGTTGATTTTCATACACCTCTGATTCCTCAGAGCAGCTCTTGTGCAAGACTTCACAAAAGAAATCTGTCTCTGTATCAGCAGCTGTTGATTTTCATACACCTCTGAATGGGTCTGAAATCAGTCAGATCCTGGGCTTATTCCCCTTAACCCAAACTGGAAAACACACCCAGAGTCCTCGTGGGTACCCTTGGCACACTCAATGCACCCCATAATTTCCAGCATTCCCAGTATATAATTGTCAGTATTCCCACAGGTGACAAAGTCCCCCACCTGGGGACTAGAAAAATATTAAATTTGGAAAAAAAAAAAATCCCCCCAAAGCAATTCAATTCTAGTTTTGAAGGAAGGTCTAAATGCCAGCATTACCAGTGCCTCCTCATAGGGTTTACACTTCTCCAGCTGCTGCAGAGCTTTTTTGTAGTTCTTTATTGTTGTTTCTGGAATGGGCTCTTCTGACCACTCTTCATATTCAGCATATGAAGCCTCCATGTCTATTAAAAAATGAAATCCCATCAATAATGCACTTATGAAACTAAAAATTCAGATTTCAGCCTAGGTTCAGTTCTAAGACAAATTCCTATTTTTATATATATAAAAAAATATAAAAAAAATATATATATATAATATATTTTGAACAAATATTTAAATTTTAATCCTCTTTTGGTCCTTACTGTCACACTGCTGCATTCTTAGAGGATTTGACATTTCATCTCACACAGTGTCCTATAACAAACTCAGGGCAAGTTGCATTACAGCTGCTCAACTGGAATTAGAAAACCAAAGTGGCAAAATTTTCCCCAAGGCTTTAGGGAAAAGAGAACCCAAATTCTTTCCAGATGGAAATGAAGTCAAAAGAACTGTGCTTAACTTTCTCCTCCCATGAGCAAGAAAAGGAACTCAAGGAGTTTAAAGCAGGAACTAAAGAAGGCAGAATTCCAACAATCCAGCTGCCAGATACTCCCTACCAGGGATTTAATGCAGCAATCACAGCTGAGCTCCTCATTTTTAAGTCACATTTTGTGCTCCTCACTTCCTCTTTAACCATCCTCAAACTCCCAACCCAGTGATCCAAGTTCCGACAACTCAGAACATTCCTGATCCAGATCTGTGCCTCATCCAAGAGGGCACAAGACCTCCAGCTGCACTTGGCGTGGCTGTGCCAGGAGAATCCTGATGCCAGGAGCACCAGGCAGCTGCTCCAGGCCCTGTGTCCCAGCACTGCAGCCCTCACCCAGCAGTGGGATCCCCAGCTGGCGCCGGAAGAGCGTGTGGATCTTCTCGAGCTGGCTGCACAGCACCTGCTGCTGCTCCGGGGATGGAATGCTGCCAGGAGCTGGCTGCAAGCAAAAAAAACAGGGAAATTCAATCCATTCCCTCCTGCCCCGGCTGATGGACAGGAGAGGGAATTGTTTATGAGCTGAGGGAACTGAGATCCAAGTGAATACATGATCCTTGAAGGGCACAGAGGGCCAAGCTGCATCTCAGTTGCTGCTGGGAAAGGTAAAACTTGGGAATTGCTGCCCTTGGAAGGTGGATGAATGGGAAAAGTATTCCTGGCTGAAAGCTGACACAAGCAGGGGGAAATGATCACCTGAGAACAAGGAAGCAGCAGGTGACTGTGCCATTTCACAGCCCCACTGTGCTGCCAAAGAGGGTTTCAGTAAATCCCTGGGGTGTGGGGAGAGGATCTGAAACTTCCAGCCTTAATTGTGTTTGGGAATGAAAGAACATCCTCCTGTTACTCCTTTGTTAGGGGTTGAAAAGGACCTTTAAAGATCAAATAGTTCCCACTGCCACAATGAGCAGGGACATCTTTAAACCTCCATTTCTTACATAGCAAATTATCAAAAACAAGGAAATATTCCCATTCTGGCCATCTTTGATATCTGCAAAAGTCACTTTTCTAACTTTCCAGGAATAAAATACCCTCATCCAAAAGTCTGTGGATAAAATACCCTCATCCACAAATTGTGGAATAATGAATGAGTTAAAAGCTGAACAGTCTAGGAATTTAAACTCTGTTTCCTCTGTGCAGAAACAGCCACAGAACACTGTTTAATAATGGAACATTTCAATTTAAAGCTGCTCTTGGCACCTCAGTCAGCAGCAGAGCCAAACTTTGTTCCTGGATTCCAGATGATTTTAGGATTTTACAGAAACACAAATCCTTTACTTCATCAGCCAAACCCAGAGAATTTCCAGGTTTTCCTGGAGCACAGGGCTGGTTTTCACAGCCGGGAAGAAACAACTGGGACATGGCAGGGAGGAGCCAGCTCCAGGTGACTCCAGGAGCTGCACCACAGCTTTTTTTTGGGATGGGAGCAAAGGGGAAACGAGCTCACCTGTGCTGTTTCCAGGATGGCATTCTCAAACTCCCTGTAGGCTTCCCAGAGGGCCGTGCCCTTGGTGACGTGCAGCCCCACGGCCGTCAGAGCCCGCTCGAAGATGGAGCGAACCCTCTCGATGCCTCCTTCCTGCCCAATGCCTCCAATGGAATACTGGGCGTATTCCAGCCAGATCTCAGGACCTAAAAGGGTAGGAGAACCACGTGTGCAGGAATGTAAAAAGGTTAAAGACTTCAGAAAGTGAAAAAAGGCCTCAGAAAGTAGACACGAAACTAAGAAAGGCTGGGAAATTTCTAAACCTTTTCATGGGAAACTAGGAAGTTAAAAACCAAGTGAATACATTTATATTTATCATAGGGAATGAGAAAGAACAAGAACTTATTGACAGTTCAAGATGTGAGAAGTTCTAGATATACACTTTGCACAGATAGAAAAAGTTTCAATCTTAAAGAATGAATTATTGTGTATTGTTTGAGGTTTACAAAACTCCTTCTGTTAATGTTAAACCCTCGTGGGTCCTTTTCTTATTGGTTAATTAAACCCTCATGGGTTTAATATTTTCTTTTCTTATTGCTTAGAGTATAATGACTTTACACCTTTTTCATGCTATTGGTTCAAAGAATATGTAGAAAAAGGCTTTGTATAAGCTGCCATCTTGTCTTTGATCTGGACTTGCATGGATGTTGTTATTTTCCTGTGTCTCTTGCTTTTTGCTTGTATGATACAGATAGATAATAAACCCTAAGTCTGCAACCAGTCAGGGTTTGTGAGACACAGACTGATCCAGCAGATTTGATTTTTTTCAAAAATAAAAACAAGGAAATGCAGCTCTGCTTCCCCAAGTGCCTGATGTGCTGCACATAAATAGAAAAACAGGTGGTGATGTTCTTTGTTAGGCAAACAAAGTTAAAATATTTGGGAATTGTACTCAGGCTGTTGGCTCAGCAGCAGCAGCCCCAGTTTGCTTAGGAGTGGTGTCACTCCTGTGGCTGTGCTGACAGGGACTGGCCCTGCCTGTCCCCTCTGCCACACAAACCACACCAAGAGGCCTGAACAGCAAATTCCCATTTCCTGAGCTGGGACCACGGCTGTCACGCTCTGGAATAATTCAGATTAAGGCAGCTCCTCCTCCTCTTTCTGAACTCCTGAACTTCCCTGATCAGCACCTCCTGAAGCAGCTGAATGGAGGTGGAAGAGCAGCCTGGCACCATCCCCAGCAACCCCAAATTCCATTTAGGAACCCCCAGCCTGGGACTGCCCTGGGCTCCAGAGGTGCCTCCAAACCCCAGATGCAATCCAGCAGCTCCAGAGGACAATTCCTCACTTCTTCACCTCCTTTCCTTCCTCCTGAGGGATCACCAGCACCACATCACTGATGTGACATGCTGCACACAGCTTTTGAGGGGATTTACCTCCATATTCCCTCCATTTCCTCAGGCTTTGTTTTTCCAGCTCTTTACCCCAATCCCCAAAGAACTCAGGGATTCATCCCCAAAATTTTAGAGCTACAGCTGCAGCAGCTCCTGAGGAATGGAGAGACCAGACACCACATCCTCCCCTTGCATAACTTCACACTCAGATTTTAGAAATTAATTTGAAATTTTGACCCAACTTCTCCATTATAAAAGAAGCAAGAGCAAAAAAGAAGCAAAGCCAAATGTGGATGCAACAAAACCCACTTTAAAGCACTTTTGGGTGACTTACAGATGTAATCCTTGACAGCTCTTTCAAACAGCTCATAAACCTTCTCTCTCTCAGAGACCTCTGAAGCCATTTTTATCTCATCCTTCAACCAGTCCAGCCAAATTTCTGGAAGGAAAAAAAAATACAGAACACATAATTAATATTCAAAAATAGTAAGTTATGTCCACTTGGTGAGTTTTTAGCAACAGACTTAAAACAAAGGAGGGGGAGCAAGGCAGAGAGAGGGATTTTAACCTGCACAATTCCTAATTAATTTCAAATAAAACTTAGGCAGAGACCTTTTAAATTGGTGCTAAACAAGCACTTTTTTACTAAAGGGAGAAGTTGGGATTCCTCAGGGCTTTGAAAATCATCCCATTCCACCTCCTGCCATGGCAGGGACACCTCCCACCATCCTAGGCTGCTCCAAGCCCTGTCCAACCTGGCCCTGGGCACTTCCAGGGATCCAGGGGCCTCCCTATCCCTTTCCAGGAATAAAATCCCCCAGCCTCTACAATATTTCCATCACCTCTGAATTATGAGCAAAAACAGAAATCCCCACTTCAAGCACCCACAATTTCCACCAGCAGGGAATTTTCTTTGCTGCCTGCCTGTGGAATGTCATTTTTGGCAGGAGTTTGCTGAGCTCTGGCTCACATTCCCTGACTGAGGATGCTGAAAACCTAAAATATTTTTATTTCCCTGCTGAAGCACCTTGCACAGGCGATGTTTCACCTGAGGAGAGCTCCCTACCTTCAGTGAGGGGGAAGAGCTCGCTCATCTTCTGCCGAGCCCTGCGGAGCTTCACCAGCTCTCCCTCCTGCCGGAGCAGCTTGATCAGATCCAAGTGACAGTTGTAGTCAAAAGCATTGATGGAGAGCTTAAAAAATAAAAAAAAAAAAAATTTAAAAGTTTAACCCAGGTTCCGGCCGCTCCCTCGGTTCCGCCGATGCTCACAGCGAGAATTGCGCTTTAATTTCTTTAAAGGCGATAAAAACCCGCGGGCAGCCGGCTCAGGTTCTCAATGAGCTGCTTGCCAGGAGCTCCCTCTTATTTCCCTCTCAAAAAAAATCCCAGGCCGGACAATTTCCATCTCAGACTCTAAACATTCACGGCATTAAACAACGGAATATCCCGAGCTGGAGGAAACCCACAAGGAGCAGGGGAGTTCACCCCCGGACAGCTCCCAGCACCGAGGTGCCGGGGCGGACACGGATTGCCGCCGCTCCCGCCACACCCGCTGCCCCGCCGGGCCCACCTGCTCCTCCAGCCGCTGGATCTCGGCCTCGTTCTCCTTCTCCTCATCCTCGCCGTCCCCGGACGAGTCCGAGTCGCCCTCATCGTCCGAGTCCCCGCCCGACTCGGGGTCTCCCTCCGGCAGCCGCTTCTCCTCCTCGGCCGCCGCCTCAGCTCCCGCCGCCGCCATCTTATGCAGCTCCGCTCGCCGCCCGCCGCGCTCCGCCGGCCGCCGGGGCTGCCCGCGCGCCGCCCGTCCCGCTGCTCCGCCCCACCCGGCCGCGGCGCGACCCTTTGTCTTGTGGTCCGTGGCGCAGGCAGCGCGTTGGGCACCCCGCTGTGTGGCCATCAGGGGGCCTCCGAGAGGGTCCGCGGCGTGCGCGGCGCGGCTCGCCCGCCATGTTGAGCGTGGCGCCGCGTGCCGCACACGCGCCGCCCGCCGCGATGGGAGCCGTGGCGCGGCCGCCAGGCCGTTTCCATCGTTTATTTATTCACCGATCGCTCCGGCCGCGGCGCGGCCTCCAGCGCTCACGCCGTCTACGCGATCAACGCACAACCGGGGTGAGCCGCGAGCTCCCGCGGTGAAGGGGCGTGGCCGGGGCGTGCCTGGGGGCGTGGCCAGCACCGAGGTTATAAAAGGGCGGCGGACAGCGCTCCTCCCCTCAGTGAAGATGGCGGCGCTGAGGGCGGCGGGGGCGGCGCTGCTGCGGCCCCGGGCCGGGCCGGCTCCGGCCGCGCTGGGCTACCACAAGAAGGTGAGGGGCGAGCGCGGCACGGGGAGGGACGGGGCAGCGCGGGGTGCCCCTCGCTGACTCTGTGTCTTGGCAGGTGGTGGATCACTACGAGAACCCGCGCAACGTCGGCTCCCTCGACCGCAACGCCAAGAACGTGGGCACCGGCCTGGTGGGCGCCCCGGCCTGCGGCGACGTCATGAAGCTGCAGGTGACCTTGGGGACCCGTTGGCACCTGGGTGGGGTCACACGGGGCTGTTGCGAGGGTTAAAGGTGCCCGTGTCCCCTCAGGGCTTCCCTCATGCCCGCTCTCCCCGCGGGCCCGGCCGAGCTGAACCGGGCACTGAAGCGTCCCCAAAATGCTCCCGCAGGTGGAAGTGGACGAGAACGGCAAGATCGTGGACGCCCGTTTCAAAACGTTCGGCTGCGGCTCGGCCATCGCCTCCAGCTCGCTGGCCACGGAGTGGGTCAAAGGGAAAACGGTGAGGGAGCTCCGGGAGGGCTGCAGAGCTCCCCGCGTGCCCGGGTGCTCTGGTGGGATCACGGAGGAAGCGCTCTCCAGGAGTCCCTGCACTGCTCTGTGCTGTAGGAGTGACTGGCAGCACTGTCAGGGTTTCAGCTGTAGGGCAGTAATTGTGTTTTTCAACAGCCATCAGAGAATCGTTAAGGTGGGAAAAGCTCTCTAAGAGCATCAAGTCCAGCTGTTCCCCCAGCACTGGCAGCTCCACCACTCACCGTGCCCCCAAGTAAAAAAATTTCACCAGGAAATTACTTTGTGTCCTATACAATGAGCAAAACCAGGCTGATGGCAGAAATTTTAATTATAGAGGACCTTTAGATGGTTTCTGCCAGCAGTAAATGCACCTCAGTGTTGTGATAGAGGGTGAACAGATCTTTAAAACAGGCCAAGTGGGGATGGTGTGTGACACTGATAAGTCAGTCAGACATTCCTTAATTCCCACATCCCTCACTGCCCTGGGCAGCTGAGGGGATCTCCCCTGTGGATTCTGCTGGCTCTGGAGCATTAAACCTGAGCAAACACAAACAGCAGGGCCCTTGACCACCTCTGCCTGTGTTTCAGGTTGATGAAGCGCTGAAAATCAAGAACACAGACATTGCCAAGGAACTCTGCCTTCCCCCTGTCAAGCTGCACTGCTCCAGTAAGTAAAAACCCTGGATCTCAGGTACCCTGGGAATAGCACAGATGCTTCTGGATGCTGTTTCCCAAGCAGTTTCTGCACAGAGAAAACCCATTCAGATTTCAGGGTTAATTCAATAATTTCCAGATCGCTTCACTATTTGGAGCCTGTGGCTCAGTAGACTGATAATAAACAATCAGATTCTGAACCACATCATTATCTGAAGTTGTATTACATGAAATCAGCATTGTAGGAATTCAGTATTGTAGGAATTCAGTATTGTAGGAATTCCATTCAGATTCTACTCCTAAGACCAGCGTGTGCTGCTGATCTTGTTTGCTCACTGCTGCCTGCTTTTGTTTTTACTTCATCCTTTGTCCTAAAAGCCTTCGAATTGTCCTTAAAATGCTTTTTTTTTGCTTTGCAGTGCTGGCTGAAGACGCCATCAAGGCTGCCTTGGCCGATTACAAACTGAAGCAGGATTCAAACAAAGAACCCGACAAAAAAGCCGACAGCGCCTGAACCGCCTGCGCAGCTTCCCCTGCTCCCTCCTCACTCTGCAGAGCAACTCCCGAGCTGTTGTAGGAGCCTGTGCACTACTCAAGCTGTAAGATACGCACAAGTTACGCACAACGTGTCCCTGTGGTGTCCAGCCACCCCGTAGTGCTCGCTGGATGGTGGGGGCTGCTGTCCCCTCGGGAATGCCGCGGGAAGACTCCGCTCCGGAGGCCAAACCCCGCTGTCCGGTACTGCAAGGGCTGCACTTTGGTTTTTGTTTTGGGAAGATGTCTAGTTTTGCCTAATATTTTATGGAATTTGGTGGGAAGCGTTGCCCTGGTTTGGATGTGTGTGTCAGAGCTGTGGGGCCGTCCCTGGCTCTGGCTGTGTCAGGGTTGGTTTCGCAATCCGGGGGCAAATTCCTGCTCTTGGAATTCTGGGGCCTTTTGCTGGTGCCAAAGGGAAATGTGACCAGGAAACACTGGTGGTTTCTGCTCCCATCCTGTCACCACTTAGGTTTTGAAGCTCTTGTTTGAGGAACAGCCTGAATTTTGGGGTGTTTTCTCTAAGAATTTCACTTCTTCACTCACCAGGTGCTCTCTTAGAGTTGTAATTCCTGAGCTAGAGGAAAGTGTCCCTGCCCAAGGAAGGGGTCTGCAACTGGATGACCTTTAAGATCCCTTCCTACCCAAACCACTCCAAGATTCTCTAAAGTACACCCTCAGACTGGAACCCCAGTGGGGAATAGCAGAGCTGGAATGCAGAGCTGAGGGGGAGCTCCCAGAGTTCCTCTTTTGTGGAGGAGTATTTCCAAACCAAGCAGACAACACACTGGCAGACTTCACTTTTTAACCTTCTAACCCCCCACAAGACACATCACTTCCCATTTTTCATATTGAGGGTGTTGTTAAACATTTAAAACCACATTTAAAAAAAAGTTGTCTCATTCTGCTCCATCCGGGCACAATATTTGTAGTTTTTAACACAGAAGTCACACGTTGCTGCAAGTGTGTCACTCACATGGTCCCTCTTGTGGTTCCTCAGCTCCTGGCACCCTCCAGCAGTGAGGAACGTGTCTCTGCCTCATGGAACCATCCTGCTTTTTCCCAGTTAAAAAAAAACAAACGGGAACTTCACACATGCTCATCAGCTTTGGAGCAAAAGCAGCTCTTCGTGGTGGCACACTCTTCCCAAGGGAAGGTTGTCCTGGGGCAAGGACATAATGGGATAAAACACAGGGATACAGGAGGTTCAGGGATACAGGGATGTGCTGCTTTTGGGGCAGAACAGCCTCACTCACCTTCCAGGCTTCCCTGCTGTCCCCACTGCAGCAGCTGCACCCCAGGGCCGTGGCTGAGCCCTCCACAGCCCCACAGCTGGGGGTACAAGATAAAGGTTTCCTGGAAGGGCACGTGATGTGCTGATGTGGGGACTGATAACACCCTGCCCAGGGCTCCACCGGCCCTGGAGGAGCACAGGGACACGGGGACTGTCCCCTGGCCACCCCACGGCTGCAGAGACACACGGGACAGGAGCTGTGCGGAGGAAACGTTTATTTCTAGCTGAAGGGGTTCAGGAAGTGAGGCAAAAATCCAGCTGGGCTCTGGGGTGGAAGAAGAAAAGGAGGGTCCTTGTCCCTAAATCCTCATCCCTCTTTCCCTTGGCCATGGGCAAAGCTGCCCCGTGTCCTACAGACATCCAGCCCTGGTCCCATCCCTTCTCCCAGAGGGACACAGCTCCCAGCCAGGAGCCCGCCACAGACCAGGCTGCTGCTGCTGATTAAAAAAATAACATTTGGGAGGAAGCTGGTGGCACAGTGGGGCAGAGCTGCAGCTGGGGGGGTGCACCCACCCAGTGCCTGGGGTGGGAGAAGCCCCTTGGGCAGCATTCCAGTGCTGGGGAAAACCACCAGCTGGCAAATCCCCCCCATGAGCATCCCATCAGCACCAGGGTCGGGGGAGCTGGGAGGGAATGGGATCTTCATCGGGGCTTCCTTGAGCCACCACGTACGTTCGGAGCCTGATCCACCATGTCCATCCTGCGTCCCAAGCCAGCAGCTCCTCAGGCTTGCCCGGGACTGTGTCCCTGCCTCAGATTCCAGAGGGAGCCTGGGAGCCATCCTGGGGTGCATCAGGGGTCTCCTTGCTTCCCGCGCTCGCCGCTTCCCCCGCGCCTGGATTTTGGGCAGCGGGCTTGGGTTGCTCATCACCCACCTTCTTCTTTCCTTCCTCCTCTTCCTCCTTCTCCTCCTCCTCCTGAGGGGAATTCTGCTCGCCCTGGGCCCCGTTGGCCAGCGGTGCCTTGTGGGGGGGTTTGAGGTTCTGGGCAGCAGCCAGGATATCCGCCTGGAGCTGCCGGCCGCCGTCCAGCGGCTCCTCCGCGCCCGCCTCGGGGCTTTTCTCGGGCACCTCGCTGAACGCCCGCGCTCCCCCCGCCTTGTCCCGCTCATCCACGTATTTCTTCTTGGGAAAGGAGGAGGGGTAGTAGGCAGAGGCCTTGTGCTTCTGCCGGACGATGACGGCGGCGCAGATGATGAAGAGGAGGACGAAGGACAGCGAGCCCACCACCACCACCAGCAGCAGGTACTCCTTGAAGAAGTCCACCAGCCCATCCAGCACGCCCGGAGCCGAGCTGTTGGTCACCGTGGTCCCCGGCGCGTCCCCCACGGTGGGGCTGATGCGGGGGGTCACGGGCTGGGCGGGCAGCGTGGCTGACGCCTCGTCCCCGTCCCCGCTGCCCGCCGTGTCCGGCAGCACTGGGCGGTGCCGCGGCGCCGCCGCCTCTGCCGGGGCCGCCACCAGCAGCACCAAGAGCAGCAACCACGTGCCCATGGCTGAGCCCATTCCCAGGATTCCTGCAGGAGACCTGTGGGATGCAGAGAGATGGGGGGACATGTTAATACCCCAGCAGAGCGAGCCCCCAAACCAGCCCTCACCCGCCTGAATTTCCTTATGGAAGTAGAAAGGCAGCTCCGGTTTTCTCGGCCTGACAGAGCAGGGGGCTCTGTTTGTTTTGCAAGGGTGCAGCTGGAAGCCAGCTGGGTGGGATTGCTCAAGGCCGGGGGACCGGGGCCGCTGCCAGCGCCCAGCTCCAGACAACGGTCATTTGGCTGATTAGAGAATTCCTGAAAAATGGAGGTTTGCAGTGGAAACTTTGACACAGGCGATGCTGCAAAGGGGCTGGGCCCGGCGCAAGAGGCATTTCCCAACCGCCGTCCCAGACCGTTAATTCCCAGCTGGAACACGGCTAAAAATAGTTTGGGGCAGGATTTCACCCCGGTGCCACCATGTGCTCGAGTGGAGCTGGGATGGGGTGTGGGACAAAGGGAGTGCAGGGAATGGGGTCAGGCTGCCTGAGTGTCCCTGTGAAGGGGGAAAGGCTGGTTCCATTTGTGCTGTTCTCCTCACCCGAATGGGGCTGGATGTGCCCCGTTCCACAGCCCACAGTGTGACCAGGATGAGTCCCTGGCCAGGCTCTGCACCCCATGGGATTTGGGAGAGGGACGTGACCGTCTCCACCGCGTTGTGAGACATTCCCAAGGGACATCAACGCGTGCCACGCCACGTAACGCCACCGAGCCGTTCCCAGGGCTCTTCCCCTGCACACAGCTCCATGGGGAGCTCTCAGCAAACAGCTCCCCAGATACGTCAGCAGGGACCCCCCCATGACAATTCCCCACTCTCAGGCTCCCCAAGTTCCAGCCCACATCCCATTTTTCCCCCAAACAAGCCCCAAGCCAGCAGCTCTACAGACCGAGAGGGACTCCAGCAGCAGGATTTGGCTTCCAGGCTCTCTCCTGGCTGCACAATCTGGTTTCCATTAATCCAGTGCAAAAAAACAGCAGCAGAGGTGGGAGGTGCCCCGACCCCCAACCCTCCTGGCTCCCCACGGGCACTGCTGCGGCTGTGGGGTCACAGCACTGACCAGCACCAGCAGAATGAAGGGTTTGAGGGGCTGAGATGAGCCCCTTCACCCTCCTCTCCACCCCAGACAGGGGTCCCTCGGCAGGAAAGGGGTCCCGGGATGGGGACGGCATCAATTCCCCGGCAGCCTTGGAGGGGCTGAGCAAAGCCCAAAGCAGTGCCAAGAGCAGGGCCTGGCACCACAGCACTGCCAGCCCTCCACCCCATCCCAATCCCATTCCAACCCCTTCCTTGCCCACCCCCAGACCCACAGCTGCTTCCCAGCTCCACTTCCCAAGCGCTCCAGAAATTCAGGATTTTGGTGTTGTCCGGAGGCAGCACGCTCTGATTCCCGCCTGGAAATGCAGCCATATGGCCGACTCCGTCCCGTGTCCCGCCGTGGGGACCATGCCCAGCCCTCACTGCAGCACCCCCGGCTGTAGCACAGCCTGTGCCCTGCTCCAGAGCCCCCCAAAAACTGGGGAGCAGCTTGGCACATCCAGCGGGATCCTCACCTCGCCCGCAGCCGGCGGGAGGCAGCTGGGAAGACGGGATCTGTCCCACACACCTCGAGCCCCTTTCTGCAGCCTGCTGGGATGGAGCCTCCTCCTTCTCCCTCCTCTCCTCCTCCTTCTCCTCCTCCTCCTCCTGCGTTGCAGCCCGGGACCAGCTTGTTCTCATTACGGCCGGGATGGGGAGGGGGTGTGGGAGGCCAGGGAAAGGCAGGCAGCCCCCAGCCCCCTCCCAGATGGAATCCAGCTGGGCCTGGGGGTGTTTCCTGGCTTATACCGTCAGCAAAGGAGTCACGGTCCCCCCATCATCAACCCCGGAAGGGGCCACATTTTGGGGTGCAAGTGGGGATGAGGGTCACACATGGGGTTGTTTTTAATGTTGTTTTTATCCACAAAGGTGGGAGTAAAGCCCATCCGAGGGTCCAAGTGGGACAGTGAGGGATGTGGGCTCAGTGCCCTGGCATTATTGAGCCAGGGGGCAAATATGGCTTAGGATCATCCCCGTAATTTCAGAAGAACATTTCCTAAAATCCCAGCCTGGAAATGCTCTGGCCTGGGCACCTCTCTGCCTTGGGGAGCAGGCAGGGACACAGGCAGGGGTCCCTCTGCTTCCCCAGGCAAACACAGCAGCTGCTCAGCTCCCCGGGTCCTGGTCTCCAGTCTTGGGGTCTGGGGGCATCTCCTGAGCCCCCCCAATCTCTCTCTCCCCCTGCCCTGGTCCCCTCGGCCTGGCCTGAGGTTGCTCAAGACGCTGCAGCCTCTGCGTGACCTCATCCTGTTGCTATTTTCCTCTGCTGCTCTCTGGGGACCTGCCAGACCCCCCAAAAAGCCATGGCCAGCGCCTGGGGACCGTGACCCCCGCGGGTGGGGGGCAGGGATTCTGTCCCCTCTGTCCCCCGGTGGAGGGGCTGGCGCCGCTGGGGTTTCTCCGGCGTCGCCGCCGGCGTCGCGGCTCCCCGAAATAAAGGCTCCGTCCGTCTGGCTGCCCCGGCGGCTCCCTGCAGCTGCTCGGGCGGCTTTTCCCGGCCTTAAGTGCTCAGTGATGAAATCTTAGAGGGGAAGGGGGAAAGGCGAGGGGAGGGAGAGGAGTTCCAGCAGCATCCGGCCCTGCTCCTGCAGCCCAGGTGGGGCTGGGGCTGAGTTCCCCCCACGCACTGCATAATGCTGGTGTTGGGCTCAGTTTCCTTGTCCAGGGTTTCCATTCCACCCTGCCCTGGGTCTGCATCCCCATTGTCCCTCATCCAAGAGCTCCATCCCACCCCCGCCAGGATCCCCACCCTGCTTCACCCACAGCCCCCATCCCTCCTTGTCCAGGACCTGCATCCCCCCCTGCCCTCGCTTCCCACCCTTCATTTCTCAGAGTCCTCATCCCTCCCTGCCCAGTGTCCCCACCCTCGCAGCCGGGATCCCCGTCCCAGTTCCCGGTGCCAGCTCCCACCGGCCATTAGGATGCCGTTTTTGCCTCCGAGCAGGGCAGGGCCGGGACCGCCGGGCCCCGCCGTGTAATTTGGGGCAGCAGGAACGCGCGGCAGCGCAGGGCTGGGCTGGGCGGCACAGCCCGCCCGGGGAACCGGCAATTTGAGGCATTTCAGCCTCGCTCTGCTTCTAATTTACTTCCCTGGGCCGCGCTTTGCTGTGCCAGCAAAATACCCGGAGGGCGCCCGTCCTGCAGAGATGCACGGGGCGCGTGGAGCTCCATGTGCGTGGGATTGTGCCACCCCTGTCACCCACCACAGCCCGGTGCCACCCCTGGCTCCCTGTCACCCACCACAGCCCGGTGCCACCCCGCCACACCCTGTCCTGAGGATCCTGCTGTGACACCGCGCAGGCTTCCCGTGAATTCCTGTGCCGTGAGGCGGGCGATGGCAGCCCGACAGGACCTGCTGACTGCGCCAAATAGGGCGATTCCCGGCTCCTGCAGTGAAGGAAAGATTCTCCTCGCTGGGCTCCTGCTGCAGAGCGGCTGGCACAGGGCTGGGAATGGGAGCAACCCCTCAGATCTGCACCCATCTTCTTCCTCAGGACACACCGGCCTCATCCTCACCGGGGGCAGAGGCTGGATGAGCTGCTGTGGGGTGAGGCCAGAGGGTTGGAGCATCCCTCTTTCCCTGTGGCTGCTTTGGCTGGCAGGGCGCTGGCGTGGGGACACAGTGGGACAGAGCAGGGTGGCATCAGCAAGGAGCCCACGGGCAGGGTGTCCTGCGTGGGGACAGGCCACGGCCACCAGCTGTGGGCCCGGCTGACTCACCCATAAACATTTACATTCACAGCCGGAGCAGGGCTGTGCAGCTGCCAGGATCCAGATGGAAAATATCCCAAGCTCAGGGTGAATGTAAACAGGCAGCAGGGTCGGGATGCAGGTGAATGACCACGCTGGCAATTGCCCCTGGACAGCCAGCCCAGAGTGGCCTTCGAGGAGGCTGCAAGCTTGGGAACGTGGGGAAGGGGATATGGGAATGTGGGAATGGGGATGTGGGAATGGGAATGCTGAATCTGGCAGGGCAGGGGTGAGGATGGAGAGATGGGGACATTGAAGCTGGTCACAGCAGGTATGGGGATGTGGGGATGGGGAGCCTGGGTGGAGCAAAATGGAAAAATGGGAACATTGAGCCTGGAAGAAGAGGGACAGTCCTGGGCTATTTCCACTCCCCCAAGGAAGGGATCAGCTGGTGGCCTGAGGGGTGACTGACACCTGCCTGAGCGGGTGAAACGCTGGGACCTTCGCTGGCCTCTCATGGATTCGCTCTCCCCATTCCTCCCAGTCCCAGCTGGATGATGCCGAGACCCTGCGGCCGCCGCTCTCCCCGGGGCCGAGCACCTGACAGGCAGCGGCGGCTCCGGAGGCGTCCCCGCCTCGCTGCAGCGACCGCAGGCAGGAACACGTTGTGCCGCGAGCGCACCCGTCCTGTCCCCGTCCCCGTCCCCCCGCGTTTCCGCCCCGTCCCCCCCGCCCTTCCCGCTCCCACGAGGCCGAGCCCAGGCGGGCAGGGGGTCCCGGGGGCTGCGGTCCCATCCCCAGAGTCCCGGGGTCTGGTCCCTGCCTGCCGAGGAGTGACCGCGGGTTTCGTTTCTGCTCCCCCAGGGGCTTTGTGGGGGAGGATGGAGAAGCGAAATTTCGGCAGCAGGATGTGGGCAGGGAGGGGGCTGCCAGGAAGAGACCACCATGTCGGGGTAACTCTTTAATGGGATGCGCTTCGGGGGCTGAGCTGACCGCGGGGCAGCAGCTCCGTCACAGTGGTCCAAGCGAAAACACCGGGGGACAGGGGGGGCACCTGCGGGATGCAGGAGCCATCCCTGCGGCTCAGGAGTGCTCCGGCAGGAAGCTGCTGAGAGTCAGGTTGTCTCCGTCGGGCTCGGCGCTGCCGTCGGGCAGCAGCAGCTTGTGCCTCCGAGCGGGGACCGGCCGGGGACCGGCGGCCGCCTCGGCGTCGGGCAGCAGCGAGGAGATACAAACCATCTCGGTGCGGCTGAAGCGGCGCTCGCCCGACCGCGCCCGCCGCCACAGCAGCGTCCCCAGCACGCCCGTGCACACCAGGAAGGTGGCGGCCACCAGCCCGAGCAGCAGGATGGCCAGCAGGCACTTGCTCATCACCCCGCTGGGCTCCCAGGGCACCGCGGTGGCCACCGGCGTCGTGTCCCAAGTGGCCGGGAGGGTGGATGCAGGCGGAGATCCGGATTTCTTGGGTTTCCTGTAGCCGGTGCTGGTGAGGACAAAGGCTGGGGGGGCTGTAGAGCGCGGCCCCGTGGAGGAGCTGCTGTCCAGGCCATCAGTCACTGTGTCCTCCTCGATGAGCCAGCCGGGGGTGGTGGTGGCGATGCCCTTTTGGGCTGCTGTCGCTGTGGCAGGCTCTGAGCCTGGCAGCAGGTCGGGATCAGGGGGATCTGTCTCATCCATGGGATCAGCTGTGGTGGGCACTACAGGCACCCGGAGCAGGCTGGTGCTGACGCTGGGCACTGCTGGTGCCACAGAGTCCTCCAGTAACTCAGGTTTAGGGGAATCTGCCTCATCCATAGGCTCGGCTGTGGTGGGCACTGTGAGCACCTGGAGCAGGCTAGTGTTGGTGCTGGGCACTGCTGCTGCAGAGCTCAGGAGCAGCTCAGGCTCAGGGGAATCATCCATGGGATCAGCTGTGGTTGGCACTCGGAGCAGGCTGGCCTTGGTGCCAGCTGCTGGCAGTGGCACGGAGCCACCATGGCTCTTGTCACTGCTGATCATCGTGGTGGCACCGGGCTCCTGCCCACTGTCATCCCTCTTCCCACGGGAGAGGGACAGGGGCTTGGCCTCCCCCCAGACCCACTGCCCGCCCCAGGGCAGCCCTGGCTCCAGCAGCTCAGCCCCACACGCCCACAGGGGGCTCAGCACCAGCAGCACCAGCACGGCCCAGCCCGGCGCCATGGGACCTGCAGGGGACAGAAAGGGCAGGTGACATCGGGGTCCTGCTCCCCGCGGGAGAATGCTGAGTGTGGAACTGCCCCAGTATGGGATCACACGCCAACCGAGGATCCTCCTTCCCCTCTGGAGAGGGGTCCTCGGCTTTGGGGGGATGGTAGAAGGCACCCAGCGTCCTTTTCCTGCCACAGCCCCCTCCTGCGGGAGCTCAGCACCGATGGCTCTGCTTCAGGAGCAAGTTTTGATAAGGAAGTTGAGTGTCTGGAAATGGGAAATCAGCCGTGATGGAGGCGGCTGCTGCGGGACGGGGCAGTTGCGGGATGAGTCTCCGTGTGGAAATGAAACCACAGGGATGTCACCCAGGTTCTGACAGACACCCCTTGCCAGGGTGCCCATCCTCCCCTCCACCTGCTGGGCTGGCACAGGTCTCCAGGGCTGAGGCCACCACGAGCCTGTGTCTCTGTGCTGGAGCAGGAGAGGCAAATCCACCCCAAACTCCCCCCAAATCCCCCTGTTCCATCACCAATCCCCCCCACGTTCTCCCGGCAGCCCCGCTGGGCGGAGGCCACCGAGATCCCGAAGATCCACACCCAACAGCATCCAGACACGGCTGAATGCTCCGAGCATCCCAGGATGCTCCCACCTCCCCAAAGCACCCCCAGGCCCCAGCACGGAGCGTGGCACCCTCAGGGACCCAGAGCACCCAGAGCATCCCGGGGGCCCAGCCCCGCTCCAGCCCCTTCCCACCAGGGCTCACCTGTGCTGATGGACGCGGCGGGATCCCAACTGCAGGACTCACGGGCGAGGGCTGGCACGGGCCGGGGGGCGAGGGCGGCCCCAGCACCGGACCCGCGGGGCGTCGTGGGCCACCCTCCGCCTGCACCTCCGGCCGGGCGGGGAAGGGCGGGAGCGCGGAAAAGCGGCTGCGGTTTCAGAGCCCGCGGGGGAAGGACGTCACGGCGACAGCGGGGCCAGTGAAGGATGGGGGGCTGCGGGCACCCCCGGGGAGGGTGGCAGGGTGTGGGCTGCACCCCAAAAAGGGGCTTCCTCGGAGGGCTCGGCCCCACCGGCGGCCCCGCGGAGCAGCTGCGCTCCGGGGCTCGCGTCGCTCCGAAAGCAGAAGTGACGGCAAACCTGGTGCCAGGGCTGCCACCCCCGCGGGCACGGTGTGGGCATGGCCAGGGAGGGGACCAGGGTGCCCTGAGATACCTCAGCACCGGGAAACGCTTTAGCACACGAGGTGGAGGAGGGTGAAGGCCTGACTTGATGTTTTGCACAGCCCTTGTGCCGGGCTCCTTCTCCCTGCACCATCCCCAGGATGCTCGGAGGGGCTCTCGGGGGCGCTGCCTGGCATTGTCCTGGGTGTTGTCCCAGCCTCGTGGCACTGGCACGACAGGAAACCCCCCGCCCCAACCGCAGCTCTGGGGCGGGAGGCGCAGCCGCAGCCGCAGGAAGGTGCTGCAAGAGGCACATCCGCAGGAACGGGCTCGGGGTGTCAACAACCCCCCGCCTCGGAAACCCGGCCCGTGCCTGCTCTGAAACACCTGGCCAGGGCCTGGAAGAGGAGGAAATGGGCTCAGGCCGCTGGGATGACCATCCCTGGGAGGGATCCATGGTGCTCAGGGAGCGCTGACTCTCTGGGAGCATCCCTGCCCGGCTTTGGGGTGGTGCCGGGGTCGGGGTGTTCTGGAGGTTGTGCAACATCCCCTGAAATGCCTCAGCCCTGAGAAAACTCAAACCTGGGTGGAGTAAGAGATGCTGTTTCCAGCACAGGCTCTGTGTCATTTCAGACTTCCTGTAGCCTGATTTCACCTGGGGAGGAGCAGAATGAGGCCCCCCCGATCCAGGGTAATTCCCAAGCAGGGCTGTTCCTTCCTGGGAACACATCATCCCCATCCACCCCGAGATCCCCCAGCCCACCTGTGCCATCACATCCCACATCCAGCCAAGCTCTTGGGCTCATCACTGGGAATCACCAGGGAGGATCCCAGGTGTGATCCCAGGAATGGGCCCTGGCTCTCCTGGGACAAGAGCAGAAGGTCCCCAAGGACCCCCTGAGCCACAGCCCCCCACTGAAGTGTCCCTCACTTCATATCCCAGTTATCAATCAGAGCTGGAATGCCGAGAGCCAAAGGAAAAGCCAAGCAGAGGCAGTTTATAATCAATGACTTTTATCTTTTGAAAATGGAAGCAAATATTTGGACAGATACTCTGGCCGCTCTATAAGAGCGCGTCTTTCCGGACTGGGCTGGTTCTCTCCCGGGATATCACGGCTACAAAAAGCTTCAGGCACTGACTCCGGTTGAGCCTGGCGAGGCATCAGTTCATTTAAATAAAATACAGGCTAGGAACTAAAATCTCCCACACCCCCACCCCCGGGCACCTCAATCCAGCGGCTCCCAAAACTGATTTCCCTCCAATGTTAGGAACAAACCCGAGGTCCCCGAGCACACAACCCTGAAGTCACACGTACAAATCAACACAGAAATCACCACTGTGGGGAGAACAACCTTCGGGTTTGGGATCCAAAAGAAAAAAAAAAATCCATAAAAATACACATCTCAGGCATTTACTGCAATACAGAAACGTCACCAAACAGCCAAAGAACCTGGAGCAGCCGGATTGTGGATCCACGGGCACAGGGCAGGGGATGCCACTTGTCCCTAAAACACAGAAATCCCACTTTTCTGAAGCTTTCCTGCTCTGCAATCCCACCACATCCTCTGTCTCCTCCATCCCGTCCTCGTGCCTCTCCAGCTACGTCCCCCGGCCGATTCTGCCTCCACACACACATCCCTCCACAACAGGGAATCTTAACCTGGAATTCTGAACATGCAAACACTGGGAAAAATGGAAAATTGGAGAATTCCTAGCTAAACTAATGGAAAATTAAAAAATCAATCACTTCAGCCTGGATGAGGGACTCGTGTCCAGTGGGATGCTCCGAGGGGGGAGCACATGGAGCTGCCACAGGGACAGAATCCAGCTGGGATAAGGACCCAGGGCTCTCAGACACCTGATGGTCTCTGCCCACCTGTGGATTCAGGATGGGTTATCAGCACTCCCTGGCACTGCAGAGATGGGCTGTGCCAGGAATGGCAGCACCAATCCTGCCTGGCACAGCTTCCTGGGGTGTCCTGGATCCCATTCCCAGCACAAGGACACAGCCTGGGAGCAGGGAGCCAGCCTGCCCCACCCCTGACAGCTCCTCCACAGGGGAGACCCTGCCTGAGCAGCCTCCATGGAATTCCAGGAGGAGCTCGCCAGCCTAGAGCCTCTCCCTGCAGGATCCCAAAGGAGCTGTGTGAGAAACCAGTTCTCCAAACTGGGAGCAAATCCATCCTCCCAGTCCCTTCTGAAGGGCTGGGAGTGCAGTGGGGGTTTGGGGTTGGAGGTCGCTCATCTGATCCGGGAACAAATCCTTTCCTGCAGGGAAGGGTGGGAGGCAGGAATGGGAATGATGGACAGGAGAAAAATGATAAAAAAGTAACAACAGAGGCATTTTGTGGAGAATTATCATGGAAAAATCACCTTTCTGCTGCTAGTGCTGCCTTGGAAGCACAGAAAATTCCTATTATCAGCACTGGTGTGAAGGGCTGATGGATTCCAAAAGCTCCTTAAAATCCATGAGCTCAGGAGTGTTGGGGGGCAGGAACAAGGATTTACAGCAACGACTGCTGGCATCCCACAGCTCACCTGGAACTCCATGGATAAAAACATTCCTGCATGGAAGTCACTTCTGCCTTGAAATGGAAATAAAAATGAGCAAGCAAAATGAGTGAGTTTGGTCATGGAAACAAACCTTGGGATTGTAGGAAAATGGGAACATGGTGCTGGCTTAAAACTTCAGTAGGAAATAAATCCCTTCGTTCAGAATGATATATTTGTATTTTTCTGTCAGCCAACAGGGCTGGGGACACATTGTGGAGCAGGAAAGGCAGCTGATCCCATCTCCAAGGGGATTCCACAGGGAAGAGAAAGGAAGGGAACCCACCTGATTGTTCCAAATGGAGGATTTATACAAAATAGCTTCAGCTTTGTTCTCTGCACAGTGTAAACACCCCCCACACCCCCTGTCCCTTGGAATGGAAACACAAATACTGCAAAAGTGGCAAATAAGAAAAATAAAAGCAATTTTTTTTTCTATTTTTTGGCAACTCTAAAAAAAAATGGTTAAGAACAATGTGGCGTTGGTCCCTAAATCTAGAAAAAGATATTTGGGCATGACACTGAAAGTCAAGAATGGATTCGTTTTTCAAGGATTCATAATAACATCTGGAAAAAACCCCAAAAAAACTGTAAAAGTAGCACTTCTCGTTTTTGCCTTGTTTTTGACACAGTCACAGAAATTCATTGGAACATCGGGAAACGAAAAAAGATCTTTCACTAAAAAGCTTGGCTTGAAATCATCGGCTCTCGTTGACGTGGATTTAGGAGAACAGGAAAGCTCGTACTGGAATGCTGCAGGCTGCTGCTGGCTGAACTGGGAGCTGGGATGTGCCTGGGCTGGCGGCCCCGTCAGTCCGCGATCTTGGCCATCTGCTGCTCCAGCTTGGAGATGCGCTCGTCCTGGTTGGAGATCGTGTCCTTGATGGATTTCAGCTCCTTCAAAATCTCGTCCAATTTGGCGTCGTTTTGCTGGAAGATGAGAGAAGGATGAGTGAGGAGAGCTCTGGGGTTTCCCAAGGAAAGGGCTCCTCCCTGTGGGATTGTTGGAGGGATGAGGGTGTGATGGACTCTGGAGCAGTTGGGATGCTCAGGGCATGGAGCAGCATCTCCAGCAGCACCAGGGCACCCATCCAGGACCAGCAGCTGCTCTTCAAGCCATACTTTCCCCTGTGTCCCAAAGGACAGGGATTAGTGGTGAACAAGGTGCTGCTGCTGGGTTAGGGTTGGACTTGGGGATCTTGAGTTAGGGTTGGACTTGGGGATCTTGAAAGTATTTTCCAACTTTAATGGTTCTGTGATTTAGAAAAAACAATTTCAGGTAATCTTCCATATCTACAGAAGCATTAGAATCACAGACTCCTGGAATATCCCAAGTAGAAAGGGACTCACAGGGATCATCCAGTCCAACTCCTGGCCCTGACCAGGACACCCCAACAATCCCATCCTGTGCCTAAGAGCCTTGACCAAATACTCCTGGAGCTCTGGCAGCCTTGGGGCTGTGACATCTCATGGGGAGCCTGGGCAGTGCCTCAGTACCCTCTGGGGGAAGAACCTTTTCCTGATACCCAGCCTAGCCTTCCCCTGACAGAGCTTCAGCCATTCCCTCAGGCCCTGACACTGGTCCCACCCTGGCATTCCCTCCTGAGGCCACCACCCCCAAAATTCCTGGAGTTTACTCACAGAGTTTGAGGCATCCGCTGCTTTCTTTGGAGCGTTTATGAGATCACTCTTCTTGTTCCCAGCAGGTTTGTTGTCCAGTATGTTCTTCTTGACCACCTTGAGATCCCTGTTTTTGCCTGGAATGTACCCGTGCTTCAAGGAGATGAGGAGAGGATCAGCGTTCTTCCCCTCAAACCACTCCTCTGCTTCCAGAGCTGCTTCTGGGCCGGCTGTGTCCGGGTACAGGTCGTCCTGGAAGAGGTCAGACTGCAAGGCAGGAGACATGGATCAGTCAGGAGCTTTGGGAGGCAGGAGCTGGCTCCAAAGCCTGGCCCCAGGGCAGTGCTCACCTTGCGGGGAACCGTCATGATGATGGGCTCACACTTCCTCTCGTGGAGCTTGAAGAACCTGCCGTGGAAAAGGAGAGGTGGGACAGGGAGTGAGGATCAGGGAGATGGAGGAGATGGGAAAGGAGCAACCCCAAGGAACCACAGAAATCCCTGAGACCACCAGGTCCAACCATTCCCCCAGCACTGCCAAGGCCACCATAACCAATGTCC